GATCCTTATGGAAGTCATCTGCATAACGCTTGCAGTTGGTTCCCTAAGTTAGTGGCGAAATCCATCTTCGATGTAACCACATATATATACATAACATAAAGTGAATGCTTTAAGTGAGTCTAAACTTTGATGGGTAGGTGTGTGTGTGTGTGTGTGTATATATATCGGGGAGGGGGCAGGATTTATTGAATGACTTTGCGATGACAAAAATGCATCTCAGTAAAGTCTGTGTTTCAAACAAACACTCCGTAAAATCGCACTCGTCAAACTTCAATGGATATGTTTCATTGAATGTGTACGGCAGTCCTTGGTGTAGATCCAAAATCTACACTTTCATACATCAGGAATAAAAACCAAAGGAAGTGAAAAACCTGGCTGAAAAATATATCTAGCGAGAAATAGAACTGTTAGGTCTGTCAGATCATCCACGGACGACACTATGGTGGAACAACGCCGGGCACTTTGGTCTCCGACATCAGAAACCTCATTATCAGATGCAGCTCTGAGGGTCATTTCTCTGAAGCTAGTGAGTTCATTGAATTCAATGCATATCAAAACTGATCTGGTCATGTCGATGACATGGTTGTCCAGACAGGGCTAACTAACGACCAACTGTGTCAAGTCACACATCACACGTTGTATACCAATATATATCAACCTTCAAATAATAAATTGATTAAAGTTCGCCTGTCAAAAGTCCGTGTATCTTTTATGTTATTATTGAATGTAATTTTCCAGTTCATACACTTGAGAGGATTTCTGTCGACATAAATGATGTCCACTTTATGTTGAAGTAATTCAAGGAGAGGTTAAGAGGTGCACATCGATAATTGAACGGTATTTGCACTAAACGCCTATTGTGCTAGCCAACCTTATCCTTTTAGTAAAAACTACTTATTCTATTGACTCATGTTTCCCAAATAGTACATTTTATCACATGTTTACATCTCCTGCAGCTGAGGAGGCATGTTTAGCTCCAATACTCCTAGATCTACCATCTCTTCACACACTAGGGGCGGTGGGGTAGCCTAGTGGTTAAAGCGTTGGCTCGTCACGCCGAAGACCCGGGTTCGAATCCCCACAATGGTACAATGTGTGAAGCCCACTTCTAGTGTTCCCCGCCGTGATGTTGCTGGAATATTGCTAAAAGCGGGGTAAAACTAAACTCAGTCAGTCAGTCTTCTTACCGAGTCACTTTCTCAGTTCGATACTTAACATCAACGTCATTATTTAGCATTGTCAGAATTTCTAACTGTGATATAGATATGTCTCTGTCACAGACAAAACTCAGTGTCTGTTTTATTGACACCTATGTGTCTGCCTTCCTGTCTGTTAATGACAATATGCAATACACAACTTCGATCACTGACCGCATGCAACTTAACACCCATCAGGCTATACACCATAAACAAAACACGCATTGATTTATGGCTCGTGCACCTGAGTTCTGTCTCTGTCACATTATGTAATTACAAAGACAGGCAGGTGTGATACTTGTACACATCACATGTTATGGTGTCTGTTGACTGCAAAATGTTATACACAAAAATGAGCATGTATTTCCAAAACCCAACATCTCTATACACACACAAAGAGTGTATCGGCAAATGAACCAGCCAATGAAAGTCTCCGTTACACTTGAGTGCACGCCCACCCGCTCTGACTGGGTTCGGTATCCCGGCTGCTTCGCTTCGAGGAAATAAACCCAAGCACAAAATATGGCACTTTTGATTTGCAACTGTACGCTCATAATGTTGTTTGTTTTGGGTTTTTTCATAACCAGCAATGTATAGTATATGTCATGAATAAGTGATAATTGTGTTTTAATTATGTTTGTGTTTTTTTGGTTGCATGTGACCTTTAATCAATGTATTTTAGGCATCTCATCGTCAGTAATATATTTCTTCTTGGTTGTGCAGCTTGAGTATTTAAAACAAATCTCACGTTACTTCATTCAGTGGTGCATGAATGTTCTTTCAAAGTTGTCACAGCTAAGCAAAGCCACTTTGCTTTTCACATCACCATTAAGTGACGCCTAACGTGATGCGGTCATAACTGTTCTAATTTCAATTTCAATTTTAATGTTTTCACGCGCCCGAATAGAACCAGCCTTCTATTTAAGCCATGGTTGTTAACAGCTACAAATAATATATACACAAACAAGAATAAACGTCTCAAAGCAGACCCATTTCGTAATCTTTTAAAAAGATTCTTTTAAAGAAGCGTGACAAGAATAGTTATTTTGTGCTGGTTTACTGTTTCGCGAAATGATTACAACAGAGTTATGTCAAAATACGTCATTACTGTTGCAAAGATTAGAGAGCATTCTTGAACGGTTCCTGGGAACTACTGCAATGATGTAATGAAAGAAGGTGATTGGATGGTTTATTGGGTTGTTAGTTTGTTTTTTGGTTGCCAGCATTAGTCAAGCTAAATGGCAGCAGCCTCTTTAACATGGAATCTAACCCAGACAGATCCATTGCCTGATGTGATGGTCATTGATCCAAGGACCTGTGACATGCTGATAAAATCAGAAGACCCGATCTATACAACATCCGCATCAACCATAATTTTGCTGGGACGTATATTCAAACCTGGAATACCAACGGCTCAACGGTAGTAGAAAGAACACGTTACCATAGAAAACTAGTTAATACTGGAAAAATACTCACATCAAAGCGCGTCGTCATATTATTGTTTGAAGTATTTGCAAAATGAAATGTAGATGACATTATATTGTGGTTTGTGTGCATTCTATATGATGTCAAATAGTGCTTCATGGAAACAAGCATTGAATTAAGTAATACAAACACAATAAACTATGGAAATCACATCATTTGCTAACAGTTTCATTGACACACAACTTGCATTTTCGCCGCTTATAGCACAATTCCAGCAATATCACCGAGAGGGACAGTACGAGAAATTGTACGAATGTGGGGAATCGAAACGCTGTCTTTGACTAACACTTTAACCACCGGGCTATCTGAGAGTCCATACGTTTTGTAATGAGGAGGGACACTAATCGCATGTTCTGAAGCAATAGGTCTTGAATTGAGTAACATTCTTATTTACAAAGTAGAAATCACATTGAAACGAACATGGCGCCAGATCAACAATTCAGGTAGAATATAGAACTTGAGTAGCTTTGACAAGGGAGTTGTATTTCCATAGTTTAGTCTGTCAGAACAGAACATGTTCTAGTTGAAGTAATATAAATTAGTTCAAGGGCTTGATAAATTTCACCTGTATTTAACTTAAAGTTGTTAGATGAAATGATCTTCCCAAAAACAAAAGGGAATGATGACAAGGCGGTGAAATGGGAGCAGTACTACCTCAACCTGAGGACAATAGATCACAAGGAGTTCAATCAGTAGTTCCAGATGGCACATCGATTCCTCGATTAAACCTCGAAGTGTCACACAACGCATCATGTGAGGCTGTCACTAAATGGATAGGATGGGCTCGCTTCGCCGTCAGGCAGAGGTTAGCGTGTCATCGTCCTCCAAGCAGGAACTATCACTGTAGGTTTGATTCGTGTCTTTGGCCACAAGGACTCAGGAAGATGATTAAAGAAATCGAGTGAACAGGATTGCGATTGATTCGAACATCATTTGTTACCACGGGTCAATGACTCTTGAAAATACCACCTTTATAAATAACACCAGTTATTTTGTACGGACACTTGGTGCCCCATCTGTTCAATGTGCAGCCTCAAGGAACAAGTGCGAGATCATTTTGCTTCAGAAAATGTCCATCACATGCAATCAGGAACCAAGCAGCAACATATGGGAAAGATCAGGCAACACAAAAACCGATCTAATGCAGGACTGACAGTTTGGCAGCAAATGATGGACCTGTGCTGCTCCATACTCGTGTTTTGCTATCTGAGCTAAATCCTATCGACCTCATTTGACTAAGGGAAAAGAACCTATTTCCAGCAACAATACAGTATGTGAACTGTTACTCGTCATACAGTTGGCCCCTGTCACGTTTGCTTGAATTTTCCCAATAGTATGGCCAAGAGCAGAGGGTTATGTAATTACGACAGTTGACGAGTACCAGCAACGTGAATGTTTTAATAGGATGTGGTTAGCGCACAAAATATCGTTACTGAAGGCCATTCCGCTCCGCTGCCTCTGGTTGAATCTTGCATGTCTGCGGACCTGTCGTAAAGTGTGGGCACGATTGTGTGAGGGTATGTATTGTGTATGGTCGTCTAAGTGGGATACCCGTGGTGTGCAGGCAATTACTGATGGTCGGACCTGAGATTCCACGTGAATATCTGCTAGTGGACGATGCTATAACATATCTGTTGCGGAGATAACGTAAACTGATTTGTACGGCATCTTGATGGGACGTCACACACGTTTCACAGGCCTAGTTCGATCTAGTCATGTCATATCATCCAACCAGCACAGCTCCAACTGTCATGTCATCAAACCAGCAGAGCTCTAACTGCAGTGTCATCAAACCAGCAGAACTCCAACTGTCATGTCATCAAACCATCAGATCTCCAACTGTCATGTCATCAAACCAGCAGATCTCCAACTGTCATGTCATCAAACCAGCAGATCTCCAACTGTCATGTCATCAAACCAGCAGATCTCCAACTGCCATGTCATCAAACCAGCAGAGCTGTGTCATGTCATCAAACCAGCAGAGCTCTAACTGTCATGTCAACAATGATGATAGTCTCAAATTTACCTAACTTTGAACGAGTACAAATATTTTGCAAAAGCAGTTGACATTCAACGAAAAAGAGACAACATTACATTGAAAAGTGGACACGATTATTTCAACTTCCCCCAAGAAAGAGTGGAACACCATGGAACGCATCTTGGCTGACAAGAACTCCATCAAGCACTTTCAGCACCCTCCCACACAGTTTCAGAGTGCACATGGACAGTTAGCATGGAACCAGACTGCGATTCAGTCACGAAATTCCATTGTTGGATGTATTCCTAGCATAACAAAAATTAGATCAATATCCTTGTAAGGGTAGACTGCACTTTACGGGTCCCCGGAAGTTTAGCTACAGACATGCGCAGAAGCCATATTTACATCGAAGCGAGCACTAACGCTGACGCCATTTTTTGTTTGCTCCAGCGAATAACAACATCGCTGTTTTGGTCCATTCAATTACCCTTGGATACTAATCGATACAATAAACAAAACAGGTAAGTTAACATGATGTAGCACAGCGTGATAACAAATATCGAAACGCTTCACTTACCTTATAATATTACAAGAACAAATCTGCGCCTCAATTGAATTGACTTACCTCACAAGAACAAATCCGCACTTGAATTAAATACATCGGGTACATCATGTGAGCTTTCATTTTGGGGGATGTCATTTTCTTTATTTCCAGTTTCAACTATTTTAAAATATTGATGGGTTTTGGGGTCAAATACACGGCGGATAAAAAGTAAGAAATGTAACGAAAGGATCATCAGAACAACGTAAATATTTCTTCCTCACAATGTACTCAACAAAATAACTATCATACAATCCTTTCGTAGTTCCATACTCTGGGCAGGGACGCTTTCACCGCTCTCCACGTACTCTCAATTTTGTTAATGCACGCACCATTCTCTGCATTCACAAATTCCTTACTATGATTCACTGTCACATGCTCGTATCCAATCTCATTCAGCCTAGCATACGCCTTCCAACAATCAGAATGAATAATCGATCCCGGTCGCACCCACTTTCTCAGCACACTCAAAAGGGTATCTGCATCACGCTTCTCCACAACTTCCAAAAACATCCGGTTACTTTCTTTCTCGATACCCCCAAACACCCACACACCATCCACTCGCCTTCCTCGTGAAACTTACGCTTCCCAAACTTACTCTCTCAATATCCTTGTAAAATGAAATCGACTACAGTTTTAAAATATCAGTTCTGCTCATCCAAAACCACCACCTCAACTGTCCTTGAATATAATTGCGAAAATGTAGGTCCTTTTTACTGAAACATTTTATCCTTGATCAGTTTGGAGGTTTCGTCTCAGGACGCCGACCTTTCGATTTTCCACTAGTCTCAGGACGCCGACCTGCGGTTTCCATTGATGGTTAGTTTCTGATTAGGAGTAACTAGGGTTACGGATAATCTACTCTAGATGTTTTGATAAGGTGAACTAGGTGAACATATATCGCAGTGGAACGCAATGGAACCACCACAACTCAGATGGGCCAAGAACCAACAACCAACTGGATGACATCCGTCACCAGCTCAGACAAGGAACACTGTCCGTGAGACAGTTTGCCGATTCAGCATTCCACCTGCTGCATTTGGTAAAAATGTGTGCTATATGTATCATGAATGCACATCGGATATGCGATGTATTTATTAAAAATGTCACGTATATACTTATGTGAATCATTGTAAAAAACGTAAAAATCTGTAGACTGAGTTTGTTGATGAGTGCTTCAAGTATGGAAATAAACTGATAAAATATAAAGTGTTGTCGTCTTCTCTTTAGTCGTGCTCTCATCCGCACAATCCGGATTATCCTCTTCTAACAACTTATTGATCCTTCATTGTCCTCGTAATCCTTTATTAATTGGCAAAATGAAACTAGTCTCAGGACGCCGATATTTTTTTTCCATTATTTTTTATATTTTTGAAGTTTGGTCGCAAGGTCGGCGTTATGAGCCTGAACCAGTTTGGAATGAACTATAACTTAATCTTATAAACCACAAAAGTAGTAATATCAAAGGCGTAAATCTGGACTACATGTGCCCGTCAAGATTTGGCAAAGTCAAGTGAGTCAGCAGTCATGAAACTGTTATTTGGAACTGTAAATGAAATGTTGATACTGGACTTTGTAACGTCCAAACAATAAGCACGTTGCTGAGTTTACTATCAACTGCATTTAATTGAATATTTGGTTTTATAGTCAGGACTGTTTCACAGACGAACTATAAAATACCATTCAGCTATTCGAACTGTAGATCGAATTTAGCATTTCCTTGCTTCTTGCAAAACATAGTTTTGATGGCCTTACCAGTTAAATACACGTTTCGATTGAATCCGGCATCCACAGTAAGTAAGTACAAGTTGTTGCCAGATCTATTGAGTGAGAACTGATTATTTGTATTAATCTTGTTCCTCTTTTAGTCATCGGCTATTTCGCCAATGTTTTAATATAAGGATATTGCCATGTCCTTGTGTAATTTTGAATAGGCAAAACTTCCCGTTTATTTTATCAGTGTGCCTCAGGAGGAATTCAACTCCACCATACTCATATCTCCTAATTTATTTAAAATTATAACAGAAAATCGGAATACATGATAAATTATTCATTATTTACCTTGTTACAAACACGCTTGTTAAAAACGCAGTGGTTGGTGATGAGACTCCAGTCTGCTTTCTACTTACATAAACTAGAGATGTAGGTTTAAATTATTTGTAGGACTTCCAGCAATAACAATTTTGTGCTCCCGTTCATCTTCTTAGGAACATCCATTAGACACACTGCGTCTACCGAAAGAACATGTATCTTGGTAGAAAAACTGGCTATGTGCAATTTCATTAAAACAATCGATTCGATTTTGTGATCGTTTAAGCTGGGCTAGATGATACTAAAATCAATGATTCTACGAAACGGGCACTTCAATGCCTGTCGGGTAGTACTTTTCCGGACATTCCACGTAGAACCTACTCTCGAAATGCATATTTTAGAATGCCAAAAAGTCAAACAATGCTTTTTAAAAAGTGACTTTTTATCATTCAGAATGTGTGTTCCAACAAAAAAATGAAATCAAGCGTCATCATTGCACATAAAAACGGGACGAGTGGGCATTTGTAAAGAAACTTGTACATATGAAATGACATGTATCATGATGCAATCAGGGCTTCCTTGCCACTTGTTGACTTGGAAAAGACACATTTGTTGAAGAAAGTAGCTGAAGAAGAATCCAACTTAATAATTTGACCTCCTGCCAGACATCGCAAATATTTGTTTCAACTTAAGATTGATGACTCATAAAATTTATGACATATGATATTATGTTGTAAATACAAATTGGTATTGTACGGTACTCGTGTAAGATATACAAGAATGTTTGTTCTTGGCAAGGGTGACCTTAATAGCGGACAATCTACTGGTTTTACTGCCCTTCGTTGACGGGGTTTTATGTATTATATGTATGTATTATGAATTAAGAACTAGTTTTAGTCACGATATGGCTGAGATATTGAGGTATATCGTCAAACTGAACGAGTACAATACAAAAATTCCTACTGTGAATTTACAACACAAAAACATGTTGTATAATTGACAATTTAACCTGCAGGTGTTAAGGAAGATATAGACACTATTCAAGATTTAACACAATGTTTCTATGTAGTTATGGTAGATGAGAAAAAGCCAAACGTTAAAGCATGTATCAAATTATCTAACTTACCCTGTCACATTGATGTACGTAATATATTCTGTTGCATGAAATATTCTTCATTGCTATTTAGATAGAAATATATAACGCTTACTGCGTTTTTGTATATCTAAATTGCATTTTTTACTTTATGTGTGTGTACTTGAAAGTTTTAAAGTAATCGAAACAAAAAAACAAAAACAACAATTTTTGGATTAGGGATATGAAAATTGGTTGGGTGAGCGGGTTTACTTTAAGCTTTTAGCAATATTCCAGAAATATCACGACTCAAAACAATAGAAATGGGCTTCACAGTACCCATGTGGGGAGTCGAATCCGGGTCTTTGGCATGATGAGCGAACGCAGATTAGCAGATTAGCTAAATAGAAGCTATAAAACATTTCTCCATATTCATTCGAAAGCTCCGAGGTCAATGTACAATTGCGACAATATCATGAACATTTCGTACACTTGCATCCATAGAGATTGGCAATCAACAACTACTGTACCACTACTGTACAAAAAATACCGCCCATCTTTAATGTGTTGTCACTAGTAAACTACATCCAGCATCCATCAGTGTCTTCCTCATCCCGCGGGGGAGGCCTCTTGATGTCAGACGCGTCAAATACCCTAATTGTTTCGTGTGGTGATACGTTGGAAAAATTGAATTTTTGGAGTGGTGATTCATTTTCTTATTTTTCAAAATCCACACGGAAACCTAATCGTGGCTTCGTTTTTATCTAATGTGGCTATTTTGGTGCAGTTTCGTGAAGCTTCTGAAAATCACACGAACGTGTATATTTTTTTTACAATTTATATGATTAACTTTCTCTCTTGACATTTGTCCATATTTATCGTTTTCTGCTTTATCGTTGATAGCCTTGATTGGATGTAGGCGTTTATCCATGCAAGGTCACATTGTTAGTATTGACTGTTGAGTTATCTGCACTGAGTATCAGATCCTTGTTAATTTTGAGTCGGAAATTCTTCGCCCACTTGACAGCACAAATACTTCTTTCTAGTCTGCGGTTCACGGTTGGTCCATTTGTCTGATTGGACAGAAACGACAAAACCCTTTCCACAACCGTAAGATATCTGTGTTAAAAACAGAGCTGATTGTACAATAATATAAAGAGTGTGTGTTTGTCTGAGGATCCTTTCCGCAGTTTTACAGAAGTACGACGCTTTCTGTAAGCAATCGCGTCTAGACAAAACCATCCAGTGATTGACGCCGTTTGATATGACAGAGCATGTTTGTATACAACACTATCAAATAGTCAAGATACGTGGTACATTTGTCAATCAAATTGTGAAATGTCATCCACATGTCTCACATAACACCTTTTGAAAGTTTTACTGTCACTTTAATGTTTTTACCTTGATAGAACAACATCTGAACAAGACACTTTTGAGAGTTTGGTAAACAGAGCATGCTCGACTGTACCATAGACAGTTGTGAAAAGTAAACACCAAAGGCTGTAGCAGTTGGTATATTGACCGACATGAAAGGAAAGCTTTTCCAATGAAGTTTTCCCTTCAGCTTTGGGGAGAGTTTTGTTTTTGTCACACATTTCAACTTACTCTGAGTCTTTATTCACACATCTAAATGTGAAGCATGAATGGTTTGAGAGGATTTCTTCCTTAACACACTGGTCTTACGTGTGACATTATTGATATGTAAAGATGTTTGATCAAACACTTTGTGTGTTGATCTTTTCACATTAAGGTTATTTTGGGCGTTGTGAGAGGGAACAGCTACAAACTTTGATAACTGCTGGCTATGGCAGAGTGGGTTTATTCTAATTCTGTTTCCTCTTTTTTCAGTACATTCTACCAGCGACAGCATCCCGCGCTGACTTTGATCCACTCTGAAAGAGATATTACAAGATCCTGTTCTCTTTTGCACATGTTTTGGCACACGCTTCGACAGCGTCAATAATGGTTTCAAAGTGTAATCCCAATTGGGAATAGGAGTCTGTTGACGATATTTGGGTCCATATTTGAATAGTAACGGTTGTCGAAGGTCGAGAATGGGAAAGTACCCTGTGATTATATATGCTGCAGGTCTGAAGCAAAGCAATGAGGTTTGAAACACAAGAGTGCAATTTACATCGGGATTTACCAAGTCTATGTTCTGCAA